TGAGTCCCTCATAACCACGATAGACCGGCTGTCGTGGTATGCGTAATGCATTGCCGCCTCCCTACATAAAGGGTAGCCCTTTTCCAATTGCTTCGGGCGCAAAAAAAAATACTGCTACTTTCGGAATTGCGTCTTGTGATGGATCTGCAGGTGTGCAGATTCAACGCATCTTGTGGTTCCAATCGATAAAGGTATGCAGGTGGTGATGTCTGCTGGGATCGTATGAGGGATCTTGGGGTGGTGTAAGCCGACGATAGTCGTATTGATGGTAGTTGCGTTTTGCAGTATTACGTCTCTGCGATGGTTATTTCGCGTGTCGCTATTCTTAATGGCGCTCTCTGCATCTTGGTTTAACTCACGCCTAACTAGCTTAGCCCAGGTCGGGTCCCGTCAATACGGGACTGCAGACTGTTTGACTTCCATGATGTTTTACATAACAACATAATAATATATATCTGTAAATTTTCCACCTTTAAATGATTGAAGGCAACTTATTGGTAGGTGAGACAAAGATGATCGATAAATGCATATATTCACCGTCAGTGACACAAACCCTTTCTGATGGCGAATTATTACTATTATCTTATAACTTTCTTTTGGCTATATCTGCCGTTGTATTGTTTGGTGGAGCATATGTGTCGACCTCATGTGGGTGGTAGTTGGAGGGAAAATCTGAGGAGGCTCTCAAGGCTGCGGACAAAAGCCGCGCCACTTGGGACCGCATCTCCTTGAGGTGGCTAGTAGCCGTGCTGATCATGCAATTGGTGTTGATGCCTTACACTTATATCACGTCTGCAGGAGCGGCGGTCAGGCAGGTGGTGGCGCTCACGGAGGACTTTTATGCCAGTGTTGCCTAAACCGTATGACGTACATTCACTGTGGCTGGGTTTGATTGTACTCTGTATGACGTTTACACAAATTGACACGCATTGCTTATTGCTAACGCACTACCAAGGGCCAAGTCCTCTTTTACTGGTGCGCCAGTTATTTTGCTGTGGACTACGACCCAGTTCCCAACTTAACATCTCTTTCGGATGATGGTTTGCTGGCGCTCACCGCACACGGCATGTGTGAAGCCATGTGCCTCCCTCACATTTTTTTTAATGTTGGCAAGCAAAGCCCTTGTATCTGGTATTATATAAATATTGTACGCCTTTTCCAAGCGGGAAGAAATTAATTAATAAGGAATTGACTGATGTGAACCTGATACAAGTAGAATAGGGACGACAAAACTTGCGATACCATCCGTACTACCTGGATGATTGGCGGTCCACCACTGTGCGATTTAGAAGATGTTTTCTTCTTCACACAACCCGCTTGTGGAATCGATTACCACCAGCGATTTTTCTGGACCGATACGAATTAGGGACCTTCAAGAAAAGAGCCTACTCCTTTTTAAAAGGCCGGCAACGCATCTGCTGTTGCTTGATGGTGTTGCGTTTGTTCATGGGCGGCGGTAGTCACTTACCATCAGGTGAGCCGCATGCTCGTTTGCTGTCCTATAAATGAAAAAAAGAACGTTATTCTATTTTAAATTTCTTACTATAGCTTATATTTGGCCATATATTTTTTTTTAATTTGAAGACAAATTAAATAATAAATGTTCAAAAAGAAAGCATTTATATAATTTTGCAAAAATTTTACTCTCGGCAGAAGTAATATTCGGGGCTTAACAATCAAACGCTGCTGTCAAAACGGCAATCCCAGTTTCTCAGGAATTCGTATTAAATTAAAGTAATTTAAAGCTTGCTTTGTGCTCTTAGAAGAAATAATAATTTTAATTAAAATGTTACACTGCAGCACTTTGTATCGTGTTATTCACAATGTTTCATATATTAAAATTCTTCAAATATTTGATATTTATTAGAACATTTTCATAAAACTAAATTATTAAGAACATCTGTTAACAAATAAAATTAATTATACAATTTACTAGAACTTAGGGTTCTAGCCATTTTCATGTAATAATACAAATTCCTTTCTTAAGTTGGTGTCAAACATTTTGACACTGACATAACATTGCTGTTTGGAATGAAAAAGCCGTGGTTGCTCAAAGGAAAAATTCTTAGAGGTTCGATCCCGCCGGTACCTATATAATTGTCAATTACAATTTTAAGTGCGAATTACCAGGTCCGTGTTGGTGAATTTAAAAAATAATTTAAACATATTTTAAAGACATGTGAAGTCCGCTAACACGCAGTTGAATAGTGCGGTGGAAACTTCCTTCCCCTAAAACCTAAAAATCTCTCAGTTATGAGAGGCCTGTGTGACGCTAATTTTACTTAAATTTACTTTTATGTTGCTGTCATTACATCAGATTTGATAGACCTTAAATTCACGCATAAGAACATCGATTCCCAACAAGGAAGGTTTATTCATTATAGCTTTTCAAAATTCCAAAACTAGGATATTGGCCAAAATTGGCCAAGTTTGGCAGTCGGGTTGACAACCGAAGTTTTATTAATTAGAGTTGTTATCAGAAAGAGAAGTCTCTCTTTCATTTCCCTCTGTCGCCTCTCTCTTCACCTACTTGATGACGACAAATAATGATTTCTTATTTTTACGCGAACACTACACATTTAATAAAACTATTTTTACGGATTTTATCGCGTTTAATCTACTATTTAAATTCCCCACGTTTCGGGTACTTTACAGCAACCCATGGTCATGGGGTGGGGTAGGGGGGGGGGGACTGAGATGTCTCTAAAAATAGTTTTATTCGACGACAAATAACTTGCTAATTTCAATAGAAAAAACGTTTGGATGCAATTATCTGCTTAGAATTCTAAAACTAATAATTAATAATAAAATTACATCAAACACGGACAAAATAATAATATAAACTGAAGGTAGCTCGGGTTAAATGTTACATCAGAACGTTGAACACTTCAATCCCCTCTTGAACATGAGCCTTGCTGCAAAGTGAAAACGAAATTGGATATAATATGTCACAGTTACGCGGCATTGTATTATGGATTTAGGATGATTGGTCTTTTTCACTTAGGATAAAGTTTAATCAATCAATAGTTTACGATATAATTGACCATGTGGCCAGCACCAGCCATTTTCTCGGAGGAATAATAATCTATAAAATTTGATATAATGGCAGGAGTTATTGTGAAATATGTTTGCAGTCTGCAAAGTTAATAGACGAACAGAACATTTTATATCTGTCGTCAAACATCGAATCTTCAAGAAAAGAACATAATATAATTGACGTTAAGCATTAACAGTTTCGAAAGTCTGCAGTCTACATACATATTTAAGTTTGCCTTCGCCATTGTATAAGATTTAATAAAGCACAAAAAAACTAAAACTTTGGAAATTAGAACACGAAAAAATTATACAATATAATTTATAAATCCATGAAAACGGAAGTTTCATATCATCTTTTGGGCATCGTAAGCAACAGAGGGAAATGGAACAGGGGGAAAACAGCATCATGTGCCTGACAACAGCTCAAAATAATAAAAACTGCGGTTTCCAATCCTCCTTCCAAGCGTTGTAACTATGGTAAATGTCCCTCCTACTAGGCAATTTAAGGGGCGGGCCTATGATCAGCAAGGGAGTTTGATAAGCTGTAATAAAAGAATGTATAAATTAACAAAAAACAAAGTTTTATTCTAATTTTACATTTATTATAAACGTAAATATCTAAAATAAAAACAAGTGAAGCAATTGATATACCATTTTGTAAGAAAAAAAATATTAATATAAGTTATTGCTTCTAAACGGAATTCCTTTGATATAATATTCCAACACGTAACGCAATGTATAGCAGAGTATTTCGGAATAATTTATGAAAGGTTGCTTCGTACGTTTCTGTTCACATCGGTTGATGTGACTTTGACACGGTAAGTGGTTATTTTTCATTAAGAGGGATTATATGACCGATGGTCTAAAAGCTTTGCCGTGTCGCATGCTGGTCCTTTTCGGTATTATACGATTAATAATCACGTAATTTCGATGAAAGTTCAACTTATATTTTTCTACTTCTATAAATGTAATGAAATTTTCTAAATTAATCTGTTGCCTGAAGAAAATCCCACATATTTATTCAATTATTTTCACACACACAAACTAATAAAATGACACATTTCCGGTAAAGCCAATTTTTTTTTACATTATAGTTCTGGAGTGAAACTATTTTATGCTGGTATTCTGTGAGAGCGTGGTCCTTCCCCGGTCGAGCCGACCCATTCGTGCTACAACTATACTACCAATATAGCTGCAGCATGGCTCTACCATGTATAAAAGCTTGTTTATCTCTTCCTATACAAAAATAATATAACTACATGCAATAATTTTCACTTAACAATGAAAGAGTAACTAAAATATTGCCTTGGAGTTGCAGTTGTTCACGGGCGGCGGTAGTCACTCGTGGCGGCGGTAGCTCATCAGGTAAGCCGTATGCTCGTTTGTCCCCCCTCTTCCATAAAAAAAAACTGTCATCGGTTTATCAGCTCCAATTAACAGAATTTTAGTTGAATTAAAGTTATTAGGTTATATCTAAATTTGTTGATCTAGACTTAGTTAACCATTCTTTTTCCATTTTTAAAATAATATTTCAAAAAAGTAACCGTTTGCAAAATTAGCCATGCAACCGAAGTTTTTTTAATTTTCTAGTAAAGATGCTGCTGCTCATCTCCTGATTTATGTTTCTTTGTCGCCTCTGACACCCATTGGACTATATGGTATAGTAGATATTCTTACACCTCCACTACACCGTAACAAACATCATAAGATAAATCAAATATTTATGTAAAATAACATGTTAGCTTCTAGCACTATAAGAGTTATAATGAGTCTTGCTGTATGTTAATGTGCGTTTAACGTATGTAAAACGTCCCAACTTTACGCAAGAAATTACTACTTAAGAGGTAACAATTTGTTATAAAATAAATAAATAAAATCAAAACAATGTTATGACTACAAATTTTTAATATTCTAAGAATGGATTGTCTACAAACTTGTTTTTGACAAAAGATTAATCTTAAAGTTTATACAGGCCCCAAAGCAGTATCGATTTGATTATATAAACTCCTCAAAAGCTTTCTGAATTTAATTTTGACGAGTTTTTTAAATCGGCGTGCTGCCTTTTGCTTCGACAGTTTGTTAGTTGAATTTTCTTCAATTTCCAAGACATGTGAGCGACGATATGTCTGTATTTCGACAGCCAATACTAAAGCTGAAAACAAGATGCAGTTATTTTGATTTGCCATTTCAAGTTAACTCACGACGTCTATACATTTAGAAAAATCGTATACAGTTTCTTCTGTTAGTTTGTGTACACTAATTTTCATAAGAGCTAAACCAATTTGGATGCAGGTTTCAGTGGTGTATTGGAATAAGCTTGGGCTAACATTTAGTGTTGTTTCATTTACATCGGTGAACAAATTAAAAAGATAATATTTTATTTTTATGCGCGTCGCTTGCGCAAACAACATGAAACCGACGCCGGTCCGAAGAAAAACGCTGTTCGGCTGCTTTCTCGATGTGCGCTGCCTAATTGTGTCTATTCGTCGACTTTGAAAAATTAAAATTTCAGTCCAATTTGTCCTACAAACTTACCTAAAAATCTTCTGTACTATAAGCGAAGCCCATGTTCAGAAGTAAATCGCTTACAGACTAAATGAAATAACTTTTTTAAATGTCAATATCAACTCACCTGCAACGAAATGACCGATTCCTAGAAGACAAAATGCTCCTCGCAGCATGACTAATGACAGTGGTTCAAGACCTATCGTAGATTCGGTCTGCGCCTAAAATTATTTTTTTAAAATGAAATAAATATAAATATTTTTGAGAAGTTTAGGATGATATACCTTAGTCCACCTCATGACCATGGGTGCAAAGTGCCCGAATCAACGAGAATTAAAAAACTTTATATTAAACGCGATAAAATCCGTAATTAGTTTTATTCCATGTGTAGTATTCGAGTTAATATAAGAAATCATTATTTTAGGATAACTGATCTGTAATGTAAATTACTCCCTGCTCCGTTCCGTCACAGCCTGTTAAAGTCCACTGGTGATCATAAACCTCTCTCATAGATTGCCTCATCGGAGGGATATTTGCCATAGTTGTCACACTTGGCAAGCGGGTTGGCAATCGCAGATTTATTTATAGTCGTTATAAGAAAGACGCGGCAGCCCATCTTATGATTTGTTTCCCTCTGTCGCCTTTTACGACACCCACGGGATGCTATGGGGTTTTGGATATTCTTACACTGCCACTTCACGGTGAAAAATAAACCTCCCTCATCGTTTAATAATTACCTGCGAAGTAACTGCCGAGTCGCCTGTGACATCTACATTTATTTTATCACTTTCTGTTACAGGATCAGACCGTCTTGACTGTTCTGGGAGTTTTTTATATTCATCTTTAGTCATTTTTGCTATTATGCCGGCTTCAAAAAGGTTCATTATCCTTATAATACACCAATATAACGTTAATTGTTAGAATGTCATTATCATATTCACAGTCATATTGATATAGATATAAAATAAGATACGAAGCGAAAATAAAAGAAATTTGATGTTATTTTATATAAGTATATTTAGCTCTTAGTATTTGTAGCTCTGACTAGTTGTGTGTTAGAAAAGTCTATAAGTCGGTTGTGTGTGTACGGTGGAAGTATGGTGAATTTGTGAAAAATAAAAGACGTTAAAGTATGAAGTTGCCGTTTAATGGAGTGACCTTTTAAATAAACCTGCATAGTCCAAGATTCTTGATTAAAACTTCATTAAATTTAAAAATTTTAATAGTTACGTTGAACATTGAGACCTTATTAATTTTCAAATACGATTTACAATGCGCTTTTAACGCAGTAAAGAGAGTTCGTAATGTCAATGCTGCGTTTGAAGAGGATACGACTAACGAAGACGCTGTGCTTTTGTAGTGGAAAGATCGATTTAAAAAATGAACCACAACAAAGACCAGACACTGAGGTTAATAACGATGTATTTAAAGCAATGATGAAAGCTGATTTATATCAAAAAACCAAAAAATTTGCAACATGGTTTAGCGTTAGTTAACCCACAATATTTTGTCCTTTACCCTTTTTTTATAATAACGATCTTTTGTGACGAACTTCGAACAACAATGGTGAAACTCTCAGAGAAAGAATCCCGTGTCGTCAACCGATCTTCGAAGTTATTGATCCATAATAACGCAAGACCTCTCACTGATTGAAACCGTTACTCTCCGTAATCGCCAGCCCCAACATCATGGCGAGGGTAGATTATAAATGATCTGCCCTAGAGATAGATGAAATGTATATAGGGAATACTTCTAACTCTCTGGATCTAAATACTACTAAATGAATTTATTTTTTCTTCTGTAAGAAAATATTTGAATTTTTCAATATTAAACGACAGTGTCATACTTTGACTTTTAAAGTAAATACATTTTGCTGATGTGCACAAACGATTAATACCTACACATTATTGAAAGTTTCAAGGTATGGACTACCGATCTGCAAAGCGATAGCTGAATACCTAGTATACAGCTTTTCACTGAGGTGAAAATTATGCGATCCTGAAATAAAAATGACCATTATATATGTACACATTCTATTTTTATATTATTTTATAAACGATTTGAATTATTCTACTGGATAGAGTTCTCCTTTCACTTTAATATAATTAAAAAATAATTGTGGGTGTAATTGTGTACACAGGTACGAAAAGAAACTTCTTTACCATATAATATCATTCTTCTTTTATTTTATATTTTACGTAAGATGGCAGTGAAACCTTATAAGAAAACATGTTTTTTTTTTAATAACGTACTAAATTTCTCCACTACGTCGATAAAGAAGCTTCACTTCAATAATTAAATAAAACTAATCTTGCAGATTTTGCCCATGATCCCTCCTTGGGTGCTGCAGAGCTCGATATACAGGGTTATTTTGCAATAACCATCCAAATTTGCAGAGAAGGTTCTGAATGAGTAATATAGCCAAATGGTGAGGAAAAATTAATTATAAAAATATCACATTCTGTCCTTTTTTCTTATAAATTAATATGCGTGGTAAACATTACTTTAACTGATTGTCGATTATTTTACTACACACGCCATCGTATAGTATCGTTTCATCGTAGCGGGAGGGGGGGGGGGGGGGGGGGGATCGGTCGGCAAAACCGTTGTGAATTGAATCGCACACAGAGCAGCGCACGTACGCGTATTTGTTCAAGATAAATCTAAATTTGGGATGATTTCAAATAAAAGTAGAAGCCTCACTTACTCGTAGTTTCAAAAACTGCAATAATAATATATAATTATTTATATATTTGAACTTAAGTTTAAAATTTGGCTACTTTTTGAAAAATAACCCTATGTATAAAGATTTCAAAAAAAATTATACTTTTATGAGTTGAAATCTATAAAGTTAGTTTTATGCATAAACATAAATCACATTCAATTTAGGATAATTTCAAATAAAAGTAGAAGCCTCATTTAGTCGTATTTTCAAAAACTGCGATAATGGTATATATTTGAACTTAAGTTTATAATTTGGCTATTCTTTGAAAATTAACCCTGTGTATTAGGATTTCAGAAAAAGATAAATTTTATGCAATGAAATCTGTAAAGTTAGTTTTATGCATTGAATAGTTTACTATATTATTATCGAGAAGGAGATTTTTGTTATATTCAATTCAATTAAAGTAGTAAACATAAATATTTAAAATTAAAAAAAAAATAATGCCGTTAGTAATTATAATACCAAATCGCTCTGTGTCGTAGAATAATGTTTCTCTTCCACCAAACACTGCAATTTTCTTGTGGGCCAACACCAGTCTTACGCCGACTTCTATACTGCGCACTCGTTGTAACTTTTGACGACGCATTAATTTAGCGAGGCGTCCATATACACCGGTACCGTTCTAAGAATTTGATTAAAGTTAATGCTATATCATGCCATACATTTTGGAGAAAAACCGCTTCTGTTATACTTGGTAAGATGTGTGAATTTGGTGACGATACAGTCCTATAGGCGGTGAATGCTAATAAAATATGGAAGCATTCCTAGCTCCCAAAAATGACTCAACGCAAATTGGGCTGCGATATGTGTAGCTTACCAATTGCGCTGCGAACGATTATTTTTTTTAATAGTCATAATTAAAATATATATTATGACACTAACCAATAACAAAGTTTCACAACATGCTGAATAACACTTAATAAGCATAAAGGTAACACTCGTGAAGCAGAGAGGTAGTATAATACTAAATAATTATAATTTTCATTGCACCTTATTACTTAAAACGTTTCTAGTGACGAAGAACGAGCATAATAGCGCCATATTACAATATTATAAACGACGGATGATATATAGCATAATTATTTATATATTATTATTAGCTATAAATTAAGGTCACCTTTTGATTGAGTGTTACGAGACATGGTAAAATATAAAAAAAAAATTGTTAGCTAATCAGTGTGCAATTTGAAATATTGGACCATGTTTTCACGGGGTAGAGCAACGCTGCAGTTATATTATGGTTGTAGCACGAATAGGTTGGCTCGACCGGGGAAGGGCCACGCTCTCACAGTATATAATGCTGCTGTGTTTCGTATGGTAAGTAGACAGAATCGGAGACCCTTTTTACTGGAAACGAAGCATTGCATCGTAGTCTTCAGGTGTAACAACGCATCTGCATTTTGATTCTTAATCTAAGATAAATGTAGATTTCTATGGCTCACATCATCCACTTACCATCAGGTAGACTGTGCGCGCGTTCGTTACCCACATTTTATATATAAAAAAGTTGCGCGCTTGATTCCTTTGTATTTGCGTTCTCCCACTTACCATGTTTTATTTGCGTTCATTGCTTATACTCGTATTTTACTGGTGCTAATATGTAATATAATACTCTATTATTTCCACAATCACTTAATTCCAATGCGATAGACCAACGATTTTTATCTACATTTTGATCCTTAATAGAGGATATATGTGCAACCATAACTTTTACATCTACTAAAAATTAGTTATAACCCCTTTTATCGAAGGCCTCAAGATCACTGGGAAATTACTCAAATGGTAATTTTGTATTCCCTTAGATCACCTTACAACATCATACGGAACTTTAATAATATATATATAGATAAATAAAATTAGCTGATATTTAGTAAATTCCAAATTTACGAAACCTCACCATTGTATGATGTAATCTTTTTATCTTTTTTATTTTTTTTATTTCAGAACATGCATACTTTCAACAGTTGATTGTTAAATCTCATCGTCGTCGTTATGGCCTAAACGGCGTTCTCCAGCAGTTGCCTCATAGTGATGATATTTGTTGTAGTTGCCATGCATGGCAGGTTGATTGGCAACCGTAGTTTTATTAATTATTTTGTTATCAGGAAGATGCTGCTGTTTACCTTATGTTTCAGCTTCCTTCTGTCGCCTTTATTTCTACGAGATGATATGGGATAATGGATTCTCTTAAGACGCCGTTACACGGCAAACATAAAACTCTTCAATCAATAGAAATCATATATAATCTGTAATAAATTGTGCAATCTGTGCGTCCTTCTTAATTATAAAGATAAACTTCTTCTTTATTTGCCCCTAAAAGTCTAATGCAAGGCTTGTCCTCCTCCCATTTTAGGACGATTTCCTACTTCCTTAATCTTCCTACATGGCAGGCGGATTGACAACCGCGGTAACAGACCTCTTGCAACGTTGACGCTGCTGTCTGTCTTCGGCCGTGGTATTTTATGTCTGATGTAAACTTTATGGTTACACCGCCATAAACCAGAAGTAATATAATTCCTTTTCTTTTATAGTTGCCTCTTACGACACCCAGATGACTAAATAGAGTATGGGCTTTCTTCGCCATCACGCCAAACGTAATTTGAGACGCTCCTTCATTTGACAGAGGAATGACCTAAGCAAGGTGACTGGCCATAACTGGGGGCGTATAACCAAAGATCGCACTATTTAAGCCTAGTCTGCCTGTTTTCAAAAGAGGACTGCCGCAGATTGATGATGATGATATGGATGATGATATTATGTTAGATTGCCAATACCTCTAAAATAGTGAGAGAAGAACTATGTCTTTCTACAACAAGCTCATATTTTCTATCTCTCATTGCCTCTTCTAGAGCCTCGAGTGTACCAATAGGTTGTTCACGCGCAGGCCGAGCAAGTAGACTAGTAAGGTTTGCCGAGTACATGTCGCCTATGACATATGTTGTTCCAAGCGATATTAAAATTGCTACCAAACGAGCTTTATGTGTGCTTGAAGGCTCTTTGCTAGAGGCTGCAAAAACAACTACTAGTTAGCGAGAACATTTGTTTCGTTATAGGTAAGTGCCCGCTAGACCAATAATGCAATCAACAAGTGTGTTGATTGTATTATAGGTGTAGTGGTCGTAAGCTTCTAAAAATACAATAGAAGCTAAAAATTCATTGATTTTTACCATAAATATTTTAGTTTTTCAACTTTTCAAAGCAAATAAAACAATTTATCCTAAAACACTGTAGTATGGATAACGAAAAGCCTTTTTTACGATGGCTAAAAAAAGATGTTACGGATTATACCTTCTTGCCCATTTCAATAATTATTATGATTAAATAAAAACGGCATTTTATACATGTGTGCGTTTATTATATACAAACATGTTAACCAAATTGACCTAATTCTGTATCTATGTACAGCATTGGCAAAATTATTGTTCGAGATATCAAAATGAAAAAACATTTTCAGAAAACCAGCAGTTCTGAGACTTAATTATCAGAGCTAATTTGTGTAGGAATATACAAAGACATAAAATGTAAAGTACAAAAAGAACAGCTGTCAGTCAGTACTTACATAAGATATTATAATCATCAAATCGACGTGAGTACGTTTCTATAACATATTTTATGATATAAATATTATTTGAAGTACAAATTGATCAAATTTATTAGACGATTATGTAGAATTTGACGTTAAATTGAATTCTTGTATGTTAGGGAGAGAACCATGTTTTCATAGAATATCTGCGTAACATAAAACAATAGAATTATGTTTCTTTAAACACTTTTTTAAGTGGTAACAAGGTGTTGAATCCGAGGGTATGGTTTTCATTGTTATAAAATTTAAGTAACAAACGAAATTATAGTCCACCTGATGATAAGTGGCTACTGCAGTCCATAGACACAGTCATGCCATCAACTTCAAAAGAAGGCTACTGATGTGTTGTCACCTCTGAGAGCTAAGGTGTCTATACCCTTCAAACTGAACAAAGAAGTGTGCGCGCTGCAGCTTGGCGGCAATAATAGGTAAGAGGGTAATTCCTACAATACCTACTACTAGCCAGTGTGTAATTCTTACCATCTAGAATAAAGTGTGCTAGAAATAATATGTGGTCTTTATCAATAAAAAAAATCTTACATTGTCGAAGAAACAGTGTAGTGGTAAACCAACAGCATTTACTGAATAGGCGCAATTGATCTTGATGACGGTTTTGCCAGAATGACGGAGCAGCGATCACAAACCATAGCGCAGGGCCTGTCACGATTAACGTTGCACACACTAACGGCCAGACCTTGGAACAAAAATATAGGTCTTAGAAAAATGTATGCATACAAGCTTAACTACCATTACAGCTTTTCGTTTTATCACCATTATTCTATTAAATATATTTAGCGACAAAACTTAGCAAGGCGCATGTTAAAAGCATTCATATGAAGAAAACCTCTACATAGTATAAATGATATACATAATAAATAGATAACATGGTCGTTTGTCACCCTCACGGTGCGGTGGTCAGCGTTTGGTTGCGTGGTTGTAGGGTAGGCGGACGTTTCGCAGTAGTTTGTTGTTAATTTCACAGCAAATATCGGCGTACGTCAGGCGGTGATTAATCGCATGACGTAATCGCTCGCTACGTAATTGGAACGCGGTTGCGTCAGCAAGTAGTAGAAATAGCAGGAGTTGTCATTCGCCGCTCACTTAGTCATAGATAATACACTATATACCTACCTAGGGACACTTAGCGGCCAGCCTCCGCAGAGTCTACTTCACCTGAGGATGCCTCGTGTAGAGGCGAAACACGTGTCTTATTTTCGAGAGTGGTGTGTCGTGCCTAGTGTGCTGGTGCTGGGGGTGGTAGTGCTGGGATTAACGGCGACGGGTATAGTGCGCGCGATTGAGGGAGGGTGGGAGGTCCCCTTAAAACTGGCAGGACACGTCATTTTCTTTCTTTACGCGGAATTAAGCAAATTAGTTTATAACAACCCCCAATAGATAACAAGTGACAGGAGGCCTAATCTTAGCAGTAAGTTGCATATGAGTTGGCTTTCACTCTACCATATCTTTACACGAGGTAGAAATATTGATGACCACTTAATGATCTCTACTAAATAGTAACTAAGTCACTTCCCGCTTAGATCTTTTAAACTACGCAACAGATTTTGATGCTAATTTCATCAATAGACAGAAAGATTCAAGTTTATATGTATAACACATGCATATTATATATTTTGTTTAATTATTCTGTCCGTGTGTATGTGACTGAACTCCTCCTAAACGGCTGAACCGAATTTGATGAAATTTTGTGTGTGATTAAGGTGATTAGAGAACGGTTTAGATTCACAATTGGACACGATTGGTAACGTTGTTGTCGAGTTCTAAAAATTAACGGTGCGAAGCCAGTATTATATATATATATAATTGTTAAGAGAAAAACTTCCTCAATAGGACTTGTTGAAGTGATAGCGTAGCATTTGATTTTCGAAAATTGCTTTGTAAAAGCTCATTTTAAACAAAAATATTTGACTTTGATTTTGTGCCGCGTAGCTTAGAAATCATATATATTTAAGAATATTCATCCCTTTCCTTTTTGACAAGTACAAGTTAAAAAGCCCAAAAACATAGACTCTCTGCATAGGGAGGATAACTCACTAGCCCATGTCGCAAAGGAGAAAGCCGATCTGCTAGGCTCTTTCTTTGTATTCAACTCGACTCTCTATGACGAGGAAGTACACCGTCGACCATCCCGCAGTGTGAGTGCTCCATACTGGATGTGCGGTTCACACAGTGCTCGGTTCGCAAAGCACTCCTCTCCCTGAACATCTACAAGTCGAGTGGACCTGACGGAATCCCTTCAATTGTGCTAAAGATGTGTGCTTCAGAGTTAGTACCGGTTCTGACGTCTCTTTTCCGCTACTTCTACTCCCTAGGTGTAGTCCCGAAATCATGAAAGACGGCTTTCCTCCACCCGATCCCTAAAAATGGCGACCGCTCAGACCCGTCTAACTATAAGTCTACCGCCATCACCTCCTTGTTTTTCAAAACAATGCAATCTATTATAAACTGCCAGCTAATGCGGCACCTTGAGGATCAACAGCTGATTAGCGACCGCCGATACAATTTTCGTTGGGTTCGATCAGCTGGTAATCTTCTAGTCTACATGATTCATTGATGGGTGGAGGCAGTAGAGTCCAAGGGGGACGCATTGGCCGTTAGATTGGACATTGTGAAGGCCTTCGATCGGGTTTGGCATAAAGCGCTTCTTTCGAAACTCCTTGCCTATGGGCTTCCCGAGAAATAGTGCAATTCGGTCACCAGTTTTCTTGCAGATCAAAGCATCAAGGTCGTTGTAGATGGTGCATGCTTCGATTACAAGGCTGCATGCTACCAACAACGGTGTATCTTCTGCATATCAATGGTACGTTGCAAACCGGTAACATTCATTGCTATGCGAATGACAGCACTGGTGATGCTCTTTACACCGGTTATGCCAATATTTCTCGGTAAAATGTCGCTAAGTACCAGAACAAACTTCGGTCTGAAGTCGAGCCTTTGCTATACAAAGTCTTAACTAAATTTAGTCCAGTTTAATCCTCAGAAGAAACAAGTTTGCGTTTTTACCGCTTAAAGGAACCTCTTTGTCCTACCTCCTCAGTTTCAAAGCACTACCCTTGTTGTCCTTGTTAAATCAGAATCCTCGACGTCGACATATCGAGTGACGTGCAGTTTCGTGATCCCTTGGAAGAGAAGGCCAAATTGGCCTCTAAAAAGCTTGGCGTGCTCAGCAGAGCGGAAGTGTATTTCAAGCCGGCACATCGCTTGCAACTTTACAAGGAATACTGTTCTTATTTCTGAGCTGGGGCTCTCCAGTGCCAGTTTCTTTCACTTGACCGCATCCAGCGCAAAGCGGCTCGAATCGTCAACGACCGTGTCCTTTCCGACCGGCTTGATTTACTGGCGCTGCGAAGAGATGTTGCATCCCTTTACATTTTCTTTCGAGAAGAAAGTGCTCTGAGTAATTGTTCCGATTAATCCCAGCCATCAAATTTCACAAATGCACATCACGGAAAAACTTCCGGATACCATCCATAATAATCTGGATGCTTGGCGGTCCACCACTGTATGTTTCACTAGGAGTTTTCTCCTCCGATACAACTTAGAGATCTTCAATAAAAGATAAACTCCTTTTTAAAAGGCTGGCAACGCACCTGCAATTCTCGTGGTGTTGCAGTTGATCATGGGCGGTGGTAGTCACTTACCATCAGGTGAGTCGTATGCTTGTTTGCCCCTTCTTGTTTGCCCCTTCCCCTATAAAAAATAAACTCTCCAGTCGCAGGGAAGATTTGCATTGATCTTCACGTCTGCAGCTTTGATCCTGCATCCCGTCGCTGGTCTTTGTATTTGGCTAATGATTATACCGTCATCTGTCAGAAACCATGAGGTCTTTCTTGCATTTTCTACAACTTTATATTTTTCATGCAGGGTCTAAATATCGTTAAGAACCTTCAGGTGAATTCATAAATATCCCATAAAAATGTAATAAAACTATTTTACGGATTTAATCGCATTTATTTTACTTAGTTTTTTAATTCACGATATTTCAAAAAATAAAATGAGAATTGTTTTATTCAATGTGTTGCGTTCGCGTAAATATAAGAAATCATACCCATAAAAAATCATTAAAATCGGCCAAGCCGTTTCGGAGGAAAATTACGTACACACGCACACGGGAATGTAATATATAAAGACCATTTGTATTTATGTTACAGTTGCATCATATTTATCTTTTTATTATATTAGAATTGTCAAGTAACTGAATTAGCTCGGCATTGTTGTTTGGCACGGAAAGTCCCGAGTACCGCTCTACTACAAAGCTTCCTGTGCCCCTACCTCACATAGAAAACAATAAAACTTACACGCGTTGTTATTTCTTTTGTAAGTGTAGGTTCTATTGTTCATTTTTTCTATTTAATAAATTCTTTATATTTTCTTTAACTATTTATATTACCGTCCCGTATAATGGCGGCTTAAGAGGATCAACTACCCCATTTCATCCCGTGGGTGTCGTAGGAGGCGACAGAGGGAATTGGAGCATTATCTTCCTGATAACAATTCTAATTAAAAAACGTTGCCAACCTACCTGTCAAGCTTGGCATACTTTAGGAAATGTTTGCTCTATGGAGGAGGCATATTTTTAACGGCGGGCTTTTGATAAGCTGTAATGAATGGATGAATGATTTATCGTTAGCTAAGGAAATTTTTATACTCTATCCACCTACTACATCAAACATCATGTGATATCTGGACTCAATGACACTTGGTTTAATTTAATTATAACTCAACGTATACCGATAGGTTAGTGTAGTAGTTTCTAATGTCTTCATGCTATAAGTTGTGTTAAATAATATATTGTAAATTCATTTTATTAAAAACAGTCCCGCTGGGTTTTTTTCTGGTTCTTCCCAGGACCAAGGTTTTTTTCCGAACCTGTAGTTTTTTTTAATAGAATAAGAGTGACAAACGAGCACACAGTCCACCTGATGGTAAGTGGATGCTATGGCCCTTAGACGTCTACATTTACTCCCAATTAAGAATCAAAATGCAGATGCGCTGTCACTCCAGAGGACTGAGATGGAGTGCCTCGATTCCAGTAAAAAGGGTCTCCGGTTCTCTACACTCACCATACGAAACATAGCAGTATTAATCTGCATTTTACGTTGGTACTCTGTGAGATCTTGGTCCTACCCCGGTCGAGCCGACCCATTCGTGCTGCAACCACAATATAGCTACAGCATGGGATTATAGCATGGCATTATGTAGTAAAAGTGGAAAATGTCTTTCAGTAAGTATTGTAACCTATATTGAATACAAATGATTCTATTCTATTAGCATGAGTGAGTACTTACTTGTGTAAACTCGCTGTTTGACAATATAGTAAAATTCAAAATCAACTAGGAGATCAATATTATTTTATTACGTTCTTAAGCTGAAAATATTATAAGGAATATAAAATTTTAATAATACTTACTTCCCATCTAAACGGTCTAATAATAGCGAGAGTTTCACTGAGCTTGGCTGGGGCGTGTGTCAAGAAGGCACCCGAATCGGCAAGGGTTACAAATGAAAACTCTACCGCCTGCAGACGTTCCCACGTTATTGTCACATCTCCGATGAAAAAATCTGCTTTCTTTGGAATAAATAATTCTTATTTAGTAATGTTTGTAATAGACGCAATATTTAATACTGATGAATATTTTATTATTCTTATGAATCAAGATTTAATTATTTATGCTATATTGCATTCCCTATCACAAAAGAATTCAAAGGCCGGACTCAATGCAATTCATGAGGTATTCTCTACCAGTTTCGTCATCATTAAGTTTGTGAATAGGTTACTTTAGAAAAGTTGCTTTTATATACTATACGAAGTTCACAAACTGTATTAACTTTCGTATTTATTAGGAAAGGGACTGACCACTTAACCTTAATTTCATTGTGCTCGTACAACCAAAGTTCGATCCCAGCCCGTACCACTGTACTTTGTTCATAACAATTTTAGTTGATGTTTCACGCACACAGAGGAATAAGTACCTATTAAAAATATTTCAATTGTACGTTAAGTCCGCCACCACGCTTAGGAATAACAAGTGAGAAGTGACCTATACTTAGCAGTAAATTGCATATGGGTTGGTTTTCATTTTACTTGGTTTCTAAATATTGAAAACCACTAAAATTAAATGAAGGTATACATAATGATCTCTACATAGTATAAAACAAAGTAGCTACCCGCCGTCTGTAGATTTAGATCTTTTAAACGATTTTCATCAATAGACGGAATTATTTAAGAGGAAGGTTTATATATATATATATTATATATAAGGTTGGGGAGTAAATTTGTTCGTATTTTATATACAAAGTCAAGACTTTATTTTTTTCAAAGTTTAATCACATTTAATTATATATTATAATATATATGTGCCGTTTTGTTCAATAACTTAATGCCATCTTGTACGTAGTGACATATCCCGTTGCTGTAGAAATTAGAATTGATGATCAAAAAAATGCGACAAGTAGTTTTGACAGTCCTCTCTTGATGTTAACCTAATACTACCCAAAGAATTCTGAAGAGACATAAACAGGTAAAAATCTGAGGGTGCAAGGTCAGGAATATATGGTGGATGCATTAACACTTCCCAACCATGCCCTCTTAATTTTTGCTAAGTGGCCAAATATGTGTTGGTTCTGGCGTTATCATGACGAAAAACCACTCCTTTTCTGTTGATCAATCCTGGAGGTTTTTTCTCAATTTCTTGCTTGAGTCTCATTAGTTGTTGGCGGTAAATATCCTAATCGATGGTTTTGCCCGGTGGTAAAAGCTCATAATAAACAATGCCCTTCCAATGTCACCATACTCAGCATCACCTGCCTTGCGTGTTAATCCGGGTTTCGCTACAGTCTGTGGAGCTTGACTACCCTTTGAATATGATCTTTTTCGTAATTTCTTGTCGTACTTATTTACTTTTCATCACCAATAATTAGTTTTTTCAAAAATGGTTCGATTATGTTTCCATAGAGAATCTTGCTCTACTTTTTCCAAAATGGCATCGATTTTATCCGTATTGGAGCAACCAGAGCAGATGCATATTTAAAAATCTTTCAAAATTCCCGGACTGAAAACCAGCCAGATACAAACAGTGCAGCCAAAGAGATGTTTCTTTAATTTTATACAAACCAAATATGAAGAATTTTTTTCTCCGGCCTATTAATTATTATGTCCGTGTGTGTTCTGTCCGATGTTAATGAAATGGTGTGTGATTAAGTTGATTATAGAATAGTTTTAATTTACAATTGGACCCGGTAGCTGGCATTGTAGTCGAGATCCAGAAAACAACCGTGCGAAGCCGGGGCAGATCGCTAGTTTCTTATAAATACTATTAACACTTCGGACGCCACGCGTCATTATAGACAAGTAAATAATATTTTACGGTTACGTTGCAGTGCACTTATAATTTTTTGAACCTATGTAAACATACTTTAAAATTTTGAAAACATAATCATTTTATAACAATTGTACTTGTCCTCATAAGTGTTAGATTAACAAAAAAAGACTCATAATAATTTATTTGTTAAAAAATTCCCCTTGTTTTTGCTTTTTTTGGTTATTCTACCGACTTCAAAATTGAGACGGCACTCAATTCGACTATATGTTCGTTTTTTTTAATGTGTTACTTCATAACTTTTTACTAGGTTAACCGATTTTATTGTTTCCTCTTTTATTTGCTAGCTGGTGCTTTAAATGTGTATTAATTTGATCAAGATCTAACTAATAGTTTTTGAGTTATCCTTAATAATTTATATTGAATTCGTTTGTACAAAAAAAAATATTTCAAATTATTTATTAAAACATTACTTTCACACTAGGAATTTCTCCTGTATCGTGGGGTAGTTTACATACATACACTTTACAAGGACAAATATTTAGACCCGACACAGTTATATTTGTAGGCCATACATACACTTGTCCCGTCCAGTGTATGACAAGCGTTTGTATGGCCATTGCGCCACGAAGCCACTGGGCTACGAAGTCACTGCGCTACGAAGCCACTGCGCTACGAAGCCACTGCGCTACGAAGCCACTGCGCTACGAAGCGACTGCGCTACAAAGCTACTTCGCCACGAAGCCATCGTCCCAGCTTTAATAATTTTCGTTAGATAATTGCGGGGACTGATTTAATGTTTTTATACCTACACTGCTACACACCGTACTACGAGACGGCCTTGTGTCTCGATATTTTATGATTTCTTCACCGGAAACTACAAGATTTTCTATCACGTCCATTGTTAACTTTTACAACATCAACGGACGATGGGATTTATGACCATTATATGACCATAACTAATGTTAAGCACTCGCTATCCACGGTGCAATAAAATGGGGAAGCAGGATGCCAACGTTAATCTTCTTCTACATCTAACTCTTAAATTTCGTATGCGCGGAATATTTGAGTTAATGGTTGAGGTGACATAACTTTAGTAAAGTGAATTCATTGATAAACTGTAGGTCAATGTAATCGAAATATGACCACAGCGTGAATTGCCCGTTTGATAGGAGAAAGTACTATACTGGCTCGAAATACTAGTGTGAATAAGCATCGTCCTGCTGCGTTTCGAGAACTAAGCGATAAAAACCGAAAACGAATTTTACTAGTAACGACGTATATCATCTTAGTCATCACAGCTTCCTGAATCTTTATTTAGATTCGTAATCAAATAAAAATGTTGATGTTTGTAAGTCACGGCATCCACCGAGTTCAGTGACTAGCGGGTTATCTTTGTCAATACTTAATCACTCTATGTGGTAACTGATAAAGAATGCCTAAAGATATTTAGCCCGTCATCTGAATCTCTCTTTGGTTAAGAGAATGTAATAAAGAATAAAAAAATAAAATAGTTAAATATAAACATCAAGATACCGGATGTATAACTCGCAGTGAATATGCCAGTTCAGTGTGTCAATTTGTTGTAAAAAGTGAAAATTTTTGAATAGTCACCATCAAAATGTAATTAAATTAACATAAAAGTTTAACACATCCTACATGTAAGAAGTCAAGTAGAGTGCATGTAAGGTATGGCCGTGTTTTGTGTCTTTCTTCGGAGGAGACTTATATTAAGTCGTGGACTTTTATAGGGCTGTGATGATGGTAATGGTAATGAATTGGTCCTATAATATAAGTAGAACTTACTCGTTTCCAAATTAGACCGAGAGTTCCTTTAAACGTTCCATTTCCAGATATACTTGAACCCTGACTTCTGTCTGGTGGATCATAATATTGATACCTAATAATTAAAAAAAATGAAGCGTGATTTTTTGGAGTAAATAATACGACGTGTAATATTTTTTTAAATAATAATATGTATAATTATTTAATATGTATAATGGTATAACATATTAAATGGTTATGTTACTAAGATAGTAAAAAGCCAATTAGTGATGTAATGATGATGTCTGCAGAAGACATGATATCAGAGTAGCCGATGTTGTCCAACTGAACTGAAAGTGACTTGGTGAGACGTGCAGGAAGTCAATGAATGCAAGTGGCTTAGGACCATGTCTTGTGTCATTCCTCGGTGGGAGCTTATTGTTGACTTGTGAAGATTAGTAATGATGCTGATGATGATGATGGTAATGATGAGAAAGCCAAATGTAATTAGTATATATTAGTACCTGAAATTTAGTCTCTTCGCTATTAAAGACAATAATTTATCATCACGGCCTCCTTTTACCTCTATTGTGGATTTATTGTTAAATTTGACAAAATGCCATGGAGGGGCCTAAACATACAAATTTTAATTAGACTGGTTTTAAGCTCCGTAATCATTTCCATTTTTAAGTTAACGTAAAGTAAAAAATAAAAGATTTTCATATATTCGATTACACTAAACAATATACACTATACACTATTGAATTAAACTAAAAAACTAAATATTTATTTTCATATTACCGACAATATTAAGTGCTACTACAAGGAGGAAGAAAATTACGTAGATCGGTTCAAAAATTAATAATTTTTAGTTGAAGGTTTCCGGGGTTAACAATGACATTGGGGGCTTTGAACACGTTGTGCCCATGACAATAGGTACTGCAAAATCTCAAAATAATATAATAGTATTATAATTAAACTTAACTATAAACATCTAATTTAAGTTATATAATATTTAGGTGCATCTGTCAATAAAGTGGTTAAGAAAATTCTACTTACATGTAATACGGGCACGTCAAATACGCGTCCTTGAAAGTTGTTGTATACCACATTAGCGGACGGAAGAAGTGGCGATTTGTACAGCTTACCCGACCACCAATTAACCAGGCTCAAATGATGGAGTCGATTTGGAGTGGCTTGATTATAATATATACGAAAACTTTCAAAGAAAGAAATATTTTGTAAATATTTCAAATTTATGTTGTATTTCTTTGTCATTATGATATATTATAATCATTTATGTAAGTATTGCAGATATAAAATAATAAATTTAAAAACTTACACGCCCTCCCTGGGATTGGTAATAACAGTGACTCTCATTGCCTCCTTGAGAGTTTGGCGAAATTTTGAACTTATGTCACCATCAGACCAATAAAACATGTAGAGTATTGTACGATGAATGAAGTTGTTTTCAGTCAACTGCGGAGAAATTGTATCTTCAACTTAGACATGAAATAGTTACAAAATCAAATGATTGCAGTTAAGTTGCACGTTGAGTGATTGTTTTTACCTTTCCTTTATATGGTTAACGTAATAAGTCCAATATTTGAGGGTATACGTGCAACATAATATTTATACTTAAGAACTTATAAGTAAAATTGTAGGGATCGTATACCTCAAAACTTTAAAACATTGTTGTAAAAACAGTGCGTGTTATCAGTGATGACAACATAACGTGGAATTAAGACGTGGGCCTTCACAGCTGGCCGTGTTAGGATATTCAAGGTCGCTCAACGAGCTAGAGAGAGGTACTATGTTCTGAGTCTATCTGCGTGATAGACTTTGAATAAGGATATCAGCAGAACCAAATAACCGACATAGTCCAACGGATCATTTTACTGAAGTAACAATGGGCCGGCAATATAGCTCAAACAACCTGCTACCAATTGGAAAGAAAGGTTCTCGAGGTGCAGCCTCGTACAGATAAACGAAGTGTAGGACGGCCCATCACTAGATGGAGTATTGAAATGGTGAGAGATGCAGGAAGGCGATGGATACATGTGATTTAAGTTAAGACATTCATTGGAGGAGGCCTCAGGACTTGTGGTGGGCTGTAACTGATGATGATACAACATATTTCAACGTCTTAAGGTACATTGAGTACTTTTGTGATTTTTTTAACTTGAATATATTTAAAAATTATGATACGCCTGTGAAATAGTGAATTTTCTTGGTTATTATTAACATAATATTGAGTCAGACGTAGTCTAACCACGCCTATTTTTAAACTTTAATTTTATAAAGGTATTTAGTTGTGACAAATTAATTTTAATATATTATTTAATGACCGTCTAATGAAAATAATTTCTAATATATATAAACGATCGTTTACTTACTACAGATAACGTTTTTAAATCATCGATTTTACAAAAAACAAAATGATTCATTGAATAGAAAATCAAATGTAAAAAGAAATTCACTTACCTCTGAAAGTAAATTTTCGCATTCCAAAGGTCTACATAAAATAAGACTAGTCCTTTCGTTTGAAGTGTCTAAGCCCTCTTTTAGAAAACTAAAAAACTGAAAGGAGTGTAATGTTATACTTTTAATTTTTTTTATTGTGAATACATATATGTAAGCAAGTATTGGTATAGATCTACAAGCAATGACAGGATATTGCACAACTAGCAGAAAAGTGGAGCGGTAGTGCTATCGATAAAAATGCGATGCACTCAGCTCGTTTTCACGACATTCGTAAAGCACTTGTGTGTTAAAAAAGAACACGAATATTAAGAGGACGTTTCAATGAACAAGTTTCATCTAATAGTAAGTCCTTTATTATAGATATTTTTGATTTATTTATTTTTTAGAAAATGGATTTAAATTTAAGGGCGTTAATTATAGTATGTCAGCCTATAAGTTAGTTTATATTATATTGGTGCGATCTATCCTTAAATATTATTATTCGTGTTGGAATCCTCAATACGAAGTTTATATTAAAATAATTAAAACAATCTACAATAAGTTTCTGCGTCACTTAAAGCTATATAATTCTTCTGTCGACTCCATTATCGAAAATAGATAATAATACCCTCGAAATACGCCGTGATATAAGAGATCAAATGTTATTGTACAAATTGCTACATACTCGTAATATCATCGACTCTCCCCTACTTTTAAGTATAGTGAATCTTGCGTGTCACAGCTAAGGTGCACCAAATAAACCTTTATTTGTATTACTTAAAATTAAAACGAAGTATGCTTCAAATAATTTTATGTCTCGTACATCTAATAAATTTAACTTAAGATAATGTGAATTAGACATCTTAGGGTGCGTACAGATCAAGTAACATGTTGTATAACTTTTGTTTTATAACGTATCCACATTATGTAACATTGTTTTTCGACATTGCAACATATAACAATACTGTACACATTAGAATTTCAATGCGATATAACAATGTTATATGACACTGTCGTACGACATTGTCGTTTGTCGTTTTGCCGTTCGAGTTATATAACATTTGTGTCACGTTATATAACACGTTTTATAAAATTCAGCCACGACATTGCTGAAACATGTTATATAACAACATATATGTTTATAACATGTTATATTATATAATGTGTATGCACCGTTATATCTAATATATAACAGTTACAAAATTATTGTGAAGCTTAACTTATAATTGGTAGTTACACTATAGATTGTATTTATCATATTGCTTTTAACTGCTTAATTACTTAATGTTTAGTTATAAATACCATTCAGTTATTTTATTTATATTTTATAATCCGAATTTTTGTACAACATATCGTAGTGGCAAGCTTTTACTATGTATTAGATATATATCTGTGGAAACTTTATTGGCTTTTGGATTACTTTTAAATGTTTTATATTATAGAGCCACGCTGCAGCTATATTATGGTTGTAATACGAATGAGTCGGCTAGACCGGGGAGGACCACGCCCTCACAGAATACCAGCGTAAAAAAGCAGTGAAAAGTATGTGTAGAGACCCTTTTTACTGGAAACAAGACGTTCTATCGTAGTCCTCAGGGGTGACAAAGCATCTGCATTTTGATTCTTAATCGCAGATTAATGTAGATGTTTATGGGCCACCGTATCCACTTACCATCAGGTGGACGGGTTGCTCGTTTATCACCCCATTCTATAAAATACGTAATTATTTATTGTAGTGATTATTTCCCTTAGATAGCAAAAAACTAAATGAAAAAATAAATAAATGAACGATATCTTTTGTAGCAATAAATAAGTTGAGCCAATATTTTTTTACCATGTTAATAATTTATAGAAATGGATTTGTTTATTATATCATTGCTGTTTTCATTAGCAACTTTTACATATAAAAGAAAAAACTATTATACGTCAGAACTATTTTAGATGTAAATGAGGCATACAACAAATTCATGCTCCTTACTATATTTTCATCGTTGTAGGACTATTGTTGGGATTTGCCTTAACCGTCACATTCGGTAGGCAGAATGACGATAGTACCTTAGATGATGCTGCCCGTCACCAGTTTGGGTATTTTACGACCGACGTGAACGAGATGGTTATAATGGTCGCATCGAACGAAACCCTCGGCTTTTTAGTTGATAAGAACTCTAAAAACCCCATTGTACCATATTTATTGTTTCTTTTTTTTTGTCTATTATTATATTTTGGTGAGCAATTAAAATAGAAATATCTCTGTAAATCTATATTGATTTTAAATTACTGAAAGTGTGATTGTAATGTTATCATTGTTTTGTCTATGACTTTGATGTATTGACAGAGATACTAGACCAAAAACCACTTTTTGATCGGTTATGCGTACAGCAAAGGAGTGGAATGATTTGCCAGCGTCCGTCTACCTGGTTTAGCGAAAAGGCTTTAGTTGAACTAAGTCAGTGTGATTCACTATCTGCATCACAAGTTACATTCTTTTATTCCTTATTCTTCTTCTCCTACATCTCCACACAAAGTTTTTGTTTTGGTATACATATGATAAACTTCAGCTAGGATTGGAAACTAGGACAGGCGTAGCTATAAGGTACACAACAAGACAGTTACAGTACAGGAGTTATGATTCATACTAGGACAGAAGGTTCCAAATGTCTGAGCAGTCAAATACAGTAACCAAATTATACTTACAATAGCTTTATTGTCTGTCGTTGTAAGGTCAAGGTTGATAACTTGGATGTTGTTTTCATATAGAAGACAAATTAACTCAAATATGTCCGAAGACCTGTAAATCGTATTAGTTATAGTTTAAATATATTTTACTAATAATTACGAAGATAAATAACAGTGTTAAAGTTGAACGAAAATTTATTAACACTCACAATATGAAATGGGGTAATGAATACTCTCACTGCTAATATTTTAATCGTCTATTAGTTATTAATGTAATTTTTTTACCTGATATTTGTCGAATTCCCTCTGACAATGGTTAAAGCCGTAGATGGGATTCCTTCAACAATATCTTTCACAGCAGGGGAAAAGCCTTTGGGTAATAATGTTAGAGTGTCTGATGCTATATGCTGTATATTAAAGAAACCAAGAGAAGAGTGAAATAACATACATAAAGTTATAACGTTCATTTTCATGAAATAAAATTAATAAATATTTTCGATTGAAATTCATTAACTAAGTACGTGATGATCTGTGTTTTAAAGGTGATAGAATAAATCTAAATTTTTCTTACACAAAACGCTCCTTAAATACGTCCTAAATTACATAGATTAAATAAAAGACAGAGTTGACGGCCGCTAAAAATGATAGTGAATATAAATTCATATAGAAATTTTCAAAAATAATTAATACTGCTCATGAAAATAAAAAAAAAACGCTCTTTTTATTTGTACTATTTATTCAAAACGTGCAACATGATATTTTTGAGCTATAATTTTTGTTTGAGCAAGCAACATTATATCTCGTATCGTATTCAACCGACCTGCATATTATAGTTTAAAATGAGGTGATTAATAAAGCGAAGCCTCACCAAGAATATCTTGCAAAGCACCATAATATGCAGGTGAGGTAGTGGTTATTCTTACATTGCCACTATACACGTTATGGATATAATTGTTTTCCACTTTTTACAGCTCGTCTTAAACTCTATTACTGATCAAAATTAGCAGACAGTTTAGTAAAGGAGAATGGCAGATTTTGTACCGCATACTTTTTTTTTGTTTTGTTATAGAATTTGTACCACATATTAAGGCAACTAAGCCATTTATTTTTATGTTATTGTAAAAAGATTTTAATAAATAAACGTAATATAAGCGTAAACTAAACGCCTTTATGTTTTTAGAAGTTGCCATATGTAAAATAACACAAATATCGAAATGATAATTATTTATTTAGAAATAGAAATAACACTATATATAATTAAACTCTTATATATTATAACTAAGAATGCATAATTGTTGCATAAAATCATTATAGTTTACGATTTAATGATAGGAATGATGTTCTTCATCAATATTTTTTGTTCATATGGCAATTATTTATTGACAGGTAAAGATTATCTGTCTTTCAGTTCATTTTCACTTCAGTTTCCAGTTTTTTTGCTGTTGTTTTAGATTGTAGTTGGTGACTGCATCTGAGCAATTTAGCGAATTATCTGGCCGTTTTTACGTTGAGTTGAGCATCTGCTGCTTCATTCTCTATCTATTGATAGTAGTTTCGCGAAAGGACGCGGACCATATAGTGCCACTACAAATGATGCGACCATAATAAATGACTTATTAAACGAAACAGAATTCAATGATTTTTATAGAGAAAATGATGTTTTTATTTTAACTAGAGGTTTTCATGACTGCATAGATAGTCTAAATGAGGAAGGATACATTGGTCATATGCCTAACGCTAAGGAAGACGGCCAATCATAGCTATCCACTCTTGAAGCCAACATATCACGCTGTGTAACTATAAACATGTGGGTAGTAGAAGTTGTGAATGGCCGTTTTAAGAGAGGCTTCAAATTGTTCCGCCATAAATATTTTAACCGTGGTTGTCACAATCTTATGACAGATTTTAAAATAGCAGCTGCTCTGCTGAATGCGTTTACTTCGCCATTCACAGAAAATATACATGCAGAGCAGTTTTTTTCAATTATATGCTCATATATAATTGAAAAAAAACTGCCTCTTTTATCTAGCACTATAGCCAAGTTAGTTAGGGAACATAATTTAAACAGGTGCGGTTCCTGGTTTGTACCCATAGATGCGACAACCCTATCTTTTCCGCAGCTGTCCATGGAGGAATTGATATTATTTGCATGTGGTGTATACCAAATTCGCCAGGCCCGTTCATATGCAGGTGAATATTTCCGCTCTCATGAAATATATTACATTAGAGGTATTTCTTCGCCCAATGTTGCTTCGTGCTAAAATAAAATCCCGCCATTCTTCTAGTAAAACTTATTTTGTATTTATAGTTGCAGAAACAGACATGAATGGTCGGAACACAATCAGAAGTTATTGCTGTAAATGCATTGTAGGTTTAAAAACTGCTTGTCTGCTTGGCTTGTCTATCCTACTAAGTGCCAATTAAATACATAACATAACATAAACACTCACGCCTGTCACCCAGAAGAGTAGGCAGAGACTATAGACTTCCATTTGGCGCGATCCTGACACACCTCTCTCGCCTCTTTTACATCCATATATCTACGCATACACGCTCGTCGGTTAAGGGTACTCCTAATCTGGCCCATTTTTAATGTATTGCCGATTTGGTCGATAAACCTTCGTCTAGGGCGTCCCTTCCCGACCCTGCCGTTCACTTCTGCAACATTAATTTGCTTTGTCACTCTTTCCTCGTTCATTCTTTCTACATGACCAAACCACCGAAGCATTCCTTTCTTAATCCTTGTCACAACGACATCTTGCAAACCACACTTTTGTCTTATCACACTATTTCTCACCCTGTTATTCAGATTCAGCCCTAGGATACTATATATATATAAGGACCGCATTTCTACAGCATTTATTCTACTCTCATGCTTCTTCTGCCACACCCAACTTTCACTACCATACATTAAAGTAGGAACTAACACAGCATTATGAATTGACATAAGTGCCTTAGTTGACACATTCTGACTCCTCATAATAGCGTGTAGAGCCCCATTCACTCTATTTCCTGCGTTCACTCGTCGTTCTATATCCTTATCATATCTACCATCCCTGCTAAATAAACATCCCAAATATACAAACTCATCCACTTTCTCAATCAACTCCCCTTCTATTCTTATTTCACATAAAGTTTTACTTTCTTCTCTTTCAAAAACCATCACTTTGGTCTTACTTGCGTTCACTTTCATACACCTTTTTTTCAATGACCAATTCATTAAAGTAACCATCATTTGCAACTCGGCCGCCAACGATGCAAATATGACTTGATCATCGGCGTACAAAAGGAATTTTTCGGTTGACTCACCCATTCTCAACCCACATTCTTCAACTTTCAAAGTTTGCAAACAACTGTCCATAAATAGGTTAAACAGCCAAGGGGAAGCCACACATCCCTGTCGTAGACCCCGTTGATCCTGACACAAGCACTAGAGTCCCTATAAAGAGACCTTAATGCCTGTATCAAGCCAGCACTCAACCCAAATGAGTTCAGTGTTTGCCATAACACATTCCTGTCCACTCTGTCATAAGCCTTTTCCAAGTCCATGAACGCACAAAAAACTTTCTGGTTTTTGGCTAAAAACTTCTCCGCTATCATGCGCATGGAAAAGACTTGATCCGTACACCCCATCCCCTTTCTAAATCCGGCTTGCACATCCCAAATTTTTCCATCAGATTCTTCCATAACTCTTTCAATTAACACCTTAGCATACAGTTTACCCACAATGCTAAGCAAGCTGATACCACGGTAGTTTTTACAGTCCTGCTGCGACCCCTTTCCCTTATATATTGGGACTATAACGGCTTTACACCAGTCTTCCGGTACCCGCTTCAGTTCCCAACACAAATTAAATAAGGTGTACAGCAGGCCTGCAACCACATCCTCGCCAGCTCTTAGCATTTCGAGTGATACTCTATCATATCCGGCTGCCTTACCTGCTTTCATGCTTTTCATTGCTTTCATTATTTCATTTATACTTATCTCCCTACCTCTCTCCACTTCTTCCGGAATTTCTATTTCACTTATTTCAGACGACTCTTCACTCTTAAACACGCTTTCAAAGTATTCCTTCCATCTCTTTAAATTCGAAACTTCATCATTCAACATGCAGCCATTCTCGTCTCGTATAGCATTCATTCTAGGCTGTTTTGAATTTCCCCTGGCAGTTCTTACGAGCTTCCAGAACATTTTAATATTTTCCTGGAAGTTATCAGATATCCTTCTATCATTTTTATCTATCCTTTCTTGCTTTTTCTTTTCAACAACTTCTTTTACTCTCTTATTTATACGTCTAAAGTCTGCTTTTTTTCTTTCAATCTCATCATTCATACCGACAGAATTACCAGATTTGGTTGCTAGTAAATCTAGCCATGCTCTCTTCTTTTCTTCAACTTCCATCCGTACCTCATCATCCCACCACAACGTATTACTTTTCCTTTCATTCGTTCTCTTACTTACACCACATACTTCGGTGGCTGCATCCACCAAAACTTTCTTAATATTATTCCATACATTCTTCAATTCTAAATCATTCATACATAATTCATTCAACCCACCTATATTTTCCCTCAGTCTGCATTTATACTTCTCTTTCACACCTTCATCTTGTAACCTCTCTATTCTTATACGCTGTAATGCAGTGGTAGACACAGATGTCCGATGCCGCCAACGTTTGAACAGACCATTAATTCGGCATAATACCAAGTAATGATCCGTCCCTACGTTGGACCCCCGGTAAACCCTTGTATCTACCACTGCGCTCCTCATTCTTTCATCCTTAATTATAAAATCTATCATGCTTCTATCATCCCCTCTTTCCCATGTATACATGTGAATCCTCTTATGCCGAGAGAAAGTGTTCGCCACAAAAATATTCTTTTCCACACATACGGTGAGGAGGTCTTCACCATTCTCATTTATTCTTTCATCGCCAAACGTTCCTAATATCCTTTCATAACCAGACCTCTTCACCCCAACCCTTCCATTAAAATCTCCTAACATAATAATATTTTCATTTTCCTTACATTTCATCAACACCAGCCTTACCATGTCCCAAAACTGCTCTCGGATATAAGTGGGCTTAGACATATCTGAGGCGTACACCCCTAGCACAAACAACTTCTTCAGCAGCCTTGGGCTAACACATTCATACTCTTTCACACATTGACCCATTCTTTCTGAAAGGATGACACCGACTCCCTGGCATGCCCGCTCGGTCTCGTCTACTCCAGACCAGTAAGCGGTATACATGCCATGTGCAGTGACATCTCTTCCCTTTCGTTTCGTCTCGTTCACACATAACACATCTATTCCTCTATCATTCATCATTTCACATACTTCATCCATCTTATCATTCATTGCTCCACATACATTCAGCGTAGCCAGACGGGCCTCCGCAATCCACTTTTCGCCCCCCCGGGAGACAGGACGTGACGGGTGGTGAACCTCGTCGCCAATAAAAAAAAATATC